ACACAGAGTCTGGGGAGATGGACAGTGAGGGATGGCTCGCAGCTGTAGGACAACAAGGCATGGAGTGTAAAGCATTGTGGGACAGTGACCATCATTCCTACTTTAGAAATATAATACAAATGCGCTACAACACTTATTAGGAAATTGGGGCCTCTAAATGGGGAGGAAACCTGGAAACTGAATGTGGAAAAGGTGACTAAGAGAGTGTGTTTGCAGCCCCTTGCATTGCATGTGTGGTTTGCTAGACTCGATTCACTAGAGGGAACCGGGACAGAAAGAGGCTCTGGCTAGAGAGGGAAAGGAAAAGCAAGCAGTACTGCAGAGAAGGAAGAGGAACCTTTGGCTCCCATTCATTCATTCATTCATCCAATTTTTTTTCTCACATTGGAGAAGGTGAGGAAAAGAGAGACTATAAAAAACTCCTAAATTGTGGGTCACCAAGAGAAGATACATTCTATGGAGAAAAGTGGGACGGGTGAAGGGACGTGAGGGTGAATTTAGCCCCTCAGAATGAAGAGCATATGCCAGGCCAGGTATCTCAGCCCTTCTAGGTTTTGGTCTGGATACAATCGCCCTGGCTATCACATTGCCTCTGATCTTTCCTTCTCTGTCCCCTAAGGTGGGCTGGGAGAAAGGAGAAGCAAGGATCCCAGAGTGTCTGGAATCACATAAAAGCAAAGCTGTAAAGACCTCTTCAGCCCTTTTTTTCCTTCCCCGAAACTATCATTAAACATTAAGTTCATGGACTTCCATCACCGTAGCATGTTTTTAATAACCCTTAAGGTATCCAGCCCCTTGCTGTCTTATCTCATTTCGTTAATTACATTTCATGATCATGGAGGGTCGGGAGGCAGAGAAGGAACCAGCATCCAATTTCAGAGAGCAGCCGCGATCCCGAGATGGGCAAGCAAGATGATGTAAAAAATCAATTCAGCAGTCAGCTGTGATGCACAATGGCTCCCAGGGATAGGGTAAGGACAGCCAAGTACACAGGCAGATAGGGAATGAGACAACTCGATCCCTCTGTGTGGGGCAGTGTGATGTGACTCTTGCAGTGAGTGGGCATAACTCAGTGCCACTATGAGTAGGGAGAAATCTCTGCAGATACCCTGCAAAACGTAGAGACTTTTCAGACCACTTGGAACTAAATGTGTACAGTTTTGCGTTCCCAAATTGATTTGTCAAGTGCTGTAAGGCTTGGGTGAATAAACAAGGGGCTCCATTGAGGACCCTGGCAAAGGACAGTAAGACCTCAATTATTTGGCAATCTCAACTATTGAGGGAACACAGGTGAGATAGATGACCAAAAGGGCCTCTGAGCAGAGTCTACAATGACATAAACCCGATGCCTCGAGGCTCATCATCTGCATTCAGAAGAGCACACCCCTCGGAAAACACTCTTTACTCTTGCTTTGGGACCAAGGCTAAGGGACTCGGTCATTTGATTTTCCTGGTATGGTAGATCAATTTAAAAACAAGTCTCCAGCCCATGAATCTGGTCTGGGCTTGTGACATGCGTTAGCCAATAAAATACAGCAGAAATGACAGAGTGTCAGTTCCAAGCCTCAGGAGGCTTTGCCTGCTTCTACTCTCTCTCCTGGAATTCTGCTATTCCCACGTGAGCAAGGTCAAACTCGTGGGAGGATGAGAGACTGTGTGAGGAAGAGCCCAGTATCCCAGGTGAGGTCATGCTAAACCAGCTGGAGCCAAGCGTGTGAGAGAGCCCAGCCAAGCTCACGGAGCTGCCTGCCTGGCCCCTGGCTGCACACAGACACGAGCCTGAGCCCAGTGGAGCTGGCTGGGTGGCACGTAATCATGTGAGCAGTAGCAAATGCCCGCTGTTTAAAGCCACTAGGTTTTAAGGTCGGTTGTTACTCAGCGGTATCTAACTGAAACACCTGGTCTGCTGCAGATTGTTGACCGGGAACAAGAAAAAAAACCCAACAACCAAACAACTAAAAAGCAGAAACAGAGACTCAAAGGTCGTAATGGTCTGGGGCTGTTTAGGGAAAGGGAAGCAGTTTGTGGCACTTCCCGAGACCCTGATCACTGGTGGTTTTAAAGCACAGTATAAAAGTCATCCAGGAAAATTAACTGAAATATAGTGTCCGTTCTTTAAGAAGGCAAGTGCATGAACCATACTTAAGAAAGATTCTCGTGTGGGGGCACTTGGGTGGCGCAGTCAGTTGGGCATGCAACTCTTGGTTTTGGCTCAGATCGTGATCTCAGGGTCGTGAGATCGAGCCCCGTGTCGGGCTCTGTGCTCAGTGCAGAATCGGCTTGGAGTTTCTCTCTCCCTCTCTCTCTGCCCCTCCTCCCTTCTCTCTCTCTCTCTAGTAAATAAATCAATCTTTAAAAAAAAAAGAAAGAAAAGAAAGAAAGATTCTCATTTAAAATAGTTAAGATAAAAGGCTTAAGGTGTTAAACGTTATTTATCTGAGAGATTCATTTGTGTGTGCAGGGACCATACTATCTGAAGCAAAAATCGGGTAACATCTTAGACAGGACTTTGTATTGCTTCCAGGTGCAAAAGGCAGCGTATGCTGGGAAATGGAGTTTGGTTGCCATGATATTGGCCATTAGCCACTCATGGTGACAATGGGACACTGTAGTCAAAACCAGGATGACCCAAGAAGATCTGGGCAGAAGAACCAAACTCTTCCCATATGGTCCTTCCTTCTTCAAAGGTGCCAGATTAGTGGTGCTGACACACAGACGTGGACTGCAGAGCCAGCCTTCATGGGCAGCCTGCAGGGCTCTCTGTGCAGCAGACTGAAAAGAGACAGGGTCGAAGAATTGCATTCACACAAAGCTGCCATCTGCAGGACCAGCTTCACTCCTTGGCTTGCCCTTTATTGCTTCCTCTGAACACCATACACCCAGTTCATTCCATTCCATGTACCTGAAGCCTGCTCCTTTCCAAGACACCATTAAGCACCACAGGGGTAAATGATAAAAATAATGGCTCACATTCATTGCATGTGTAGTAAGTGCCAAGGACTGGATGAAGCTCATGTCATGGACGAACCCATTAACCCCGTAAGTTAAGTGCTACTGCTCTCTCTCCTTTAAAGAAGTAGAACAGAGGCACAGAGCGATAAAGCAACCTGCCCAAGGTCACACAGTTAGAAAATGGCAGAGGCAGGATCCCAGCCCTGATGGCTGGCTCCACACCCATCCCCTAAATCGTTCGGCTCTGCTCCTTCAGTAGGCAAGTGTCCTTATTACCTTCCCGGCTGGGTGTGGCCACAACCTTTGACCACAACTCTGAGCCAACCCATCACTCATCACTGGCCCTCACGCCTCTCCCCAACATCAGCTCTCAGGGAACTGCATGACATGCACCTGTTCTCAGGGGGATGAGGTCCTTTGCCTGACGGCTAATTACCACCCATCACCTGCCGCAGGCCCACGGAGAGCAGCCCTGGCACGGGGCTGTGTGCCTCCACCTGAGGCAGCTCAGCTTTCAGCTTTGGGGAGCAGAGTGGTGGCACCCAAGGCTAGCTGCCAACACCCCCTCCCTGTCCCCACCCCCGCGGAGCCGCTAAAGGCCAAGGCTCCAGGCTGTTTTATCTCCTGCTCACACCCGTCTCCTCTCCCTCCTCCTCTCTATCTGGGAGTTTCCTTGTGGTTCTAATGAAAAACCCTTGTGTCACGTTGAAAAGTTGCCAGTTATTGCTGCCGGGAATAAAATCCAGTCTCTGCGGGGCGGAGACTCCCGAATTTTCGAGCTGGGAGTGAGGAGTGGCTGGTTGGAATCATCTTTCCGGTGCCAGCCGAGCAGTCTCTCAAGCATAAAGAGATGCCCCCAGGTGGGGCCCTCCCTGACAGCGGTAGGCAAACACAGACCAGGCCTGGCCAGGCTCCCCGCCCCACCTGGACTGTCTCTCGGGCCGGCCTTAGGCCCCAGCACACCTGCCAGGAGTCAGTGGGCTTCCCTCAGGCTGACTGGTTCAGGCTCTTTCCCCATCTCCCCAGAGAGCGGACAAAGCTTGGTGCCCCTTCTCCTGTGAGCTCTCAGGTCAGTGAGGGCTAAGCAGTGGCTTCCCCAAATCCTTGGAGACCTGCTCAGTCCACCTGCAGATTATTCAAAATGTGGGCTCCTCTGGATCTACCCGGAGTCCCTGAATCCAAATCCCCAGAGCCACGGTTTGGGAAACCCCATTCTGAACCCCTCCCTGCCTGGACTGTCCTGCTCAAAACCATGGGACCTAAGCCACTTGACCCAAGGAAAGATGCTCCCCGCACCGCGCTCCCCCCCCAACCCCCACAAACACACATGCTCTCCTAGGACTGCAAAGTCTCAGGTGCCCTGCGAAGGCCAGGTGTGACTGGCACATGAGGACAGCCAGGTGGTCTCTCCTCTTCACTGAGGATTCGAAAAACAGACCATTTAGTTGACAAAATGGAGTTTCCCTCGAGTTAACGGAGTGGGAGTGGAACCAGCTACGGGTTCAAACAGCACAAATGCTCCCAAGGAAGCCAGGCTGGAGGGGCCAAATATTTTCTTTACAGTTGATTTGATGCAGTTCTGTGGTCAATGGTGTGTGGAGGTGGGATGCCTCCTGATGGCCCGGCCCCCTCCTATTTGCGCGGCCAGCACCTCAAAGGGCACACATCATTTTTTTCCCCTATAAAGTGAATCTGGGCATTTTATAGCTGAAAAGGGAGCAATTCCATTTGAATGAATCAAGAGGCTGAAGGCAAAAGTGCATTACGTAGCTTTTACGGACATTCCTCCTGGATTGACAAGGATTGACAAGGTCCCGTGGCCACCCCCTGAAAAGCTTCAGCCACAAAACATTTCTTGACATCACTCAAGGGAGGTCTGCTGTCTTAGCTGTACTCACACAGGGCCTGTGGTGTTTCTTCACTTATCAGTTTAAGAAATGACTATGGTCTGCCTCTTGGTGTGGTGCATCCTTGTTAGCCATGACCCTGTAACGTTTCTCCTTTGTTAAATGAGAAGAAAACAGTAATATTATGGAGGGGAAACATACCTTTCAGCCACTTTGGACATTTTTAAACAATGTCTGTCAATCTGTGCATTCAAAAATGTTATCTGGGGAAAGATAGAACAGAGGTGTTAAGACCAAACTTGATTTTTTCCCCCCCTTCACCCCATGAACCCAAACCCTGTATTTCCATCAATAGCTAAACAGCTCCTCTGGCCAGCCTTTGCCAACCCTCCAGCTTTGCAGTCCAACAATCATTTGCCCTTCTGGAAATTCCCACCACACTCAGGAATCACACTCTACAATTTAGCCTATGCTAATATTCTGTACTGTGTTGTAGCCTAGGTCTCGACTCCAAAAAGTGATTGCAAACTTAAAGGCAGTGGTATACATCCTACAAAGCTTAGCAACACTTTACAGGCACTGTAAATATCTGGTTGGACTAATTTCCAGTGATTTCCCTCTGCACACTCTACACACCTACATCACACCCACCATTATGCTTGGTGTACTCGACTAGATCATGAAATAGCTATTTCACATACATCTGTTTCCTCTTCCCCACCCCAAATAAACTTGTCAAGGGCAGGCACCTTTGGGTTTCCCCCAAGAAGCCAGTAAAACATAATGTAAAGATCCTAAAGTTACTTTATTGCCAGTGAATCCTAGAAAGGAGTAATGTAATTAGCCATTGTCTGCTGACCTGGGTTGACCAGTTAGCTTCTCATCATCAAGGAAGACAACACTGAACCAAATAATGCTGAATTGGCACTGAGAGTGGGGCTTTCTTTATTTGTAAACTTGCCTTTTGCATCACAGCAATAAAGTCGGTGGTTCTGAGCTGGCTTACTCTGTAAGTGCATTACAATTTTAAGGACTCCATGATATCCGTCCCTCCCCCCTTCAGCCCCCACAGCATTCTGTGGGAACCCCACCTACAGCAGTCACCCCAAGGCATTGGGATAACTCCTCTATGTCCTTCTCTAGTAACTGCTGGGGAAACTCGGTGGAGACTTTTTCCTCTCAAGCTTCCATGGGTTGTTCGCACACAGCAATCAGAGGTTCAAGTCATCCACAGCTGGGTTCCACTGTGGTTTCCAGGAACTCAAAGCTCACTCAGGCTTCAGAGGTGAACATTCAAAGAGTTTTCAAACTGGCCACGTCTCCTCCTGGGAGTGCAGTAGTCAATTCATTCACCTGTTTCCGGATGTCCTCTTTTGTAGTTTTCCTGATTGGCTGACTGGGTATGTGCACGGGGCTTTGCGACTGGGACTCTTCAGTCACGCCATACACTGACTAGAGAAGAAGCAAGAAGATAGAATCATGCACCCTCAGAGTTGCAGGGCGCCTTAGGGGCAGGCACTGCAAGAGCTCTTTTGATGCTTCCAATCCCCTCGGTGACATCCTGACAATAAGTGATCAGCCTTTGTGCAAATTTCTACAGTGAGGAGACCTCTTCCTCTTGAGGCAGCTTGTCCCATCTTTGGGCTACCACTGTTAGAAGATCTTCCCTCTCACTAAGCTGCAACAGTCTCTTGAATATCAGCGTGTCTCCAAATATGGTCCTAGACCATCCGCAAAGAATCATCTGTGGGTACTCGGTAAAGATGCACATTGCTGAGCCCCACCCCGACCTACTGAATCAGTCTTTGTGGGTGGGGTTTGGGAACCTGCACTTTTATCAAATGGCCCAGGTGATTCTGAAGCACAAGAAAGTTCAAGAACAACTGTTGAAAGTTATGCACGAAAGATCCTCTCTAGATTTTCTCTTCCCCAGCAGATGACAATGCCCATCTGGTACAAATTTGAGATGGCAGGGTTTCAGATTCTTTCCTTTTCAGCCAAACAGCTTTCTGGCCTCAGTTTCTCCTCATGCTATGGCTGCTTATTAAGCAGTTCCCTTGTGCTGGAGACAGACAAAAGACAATCTTTGCTTTGGGAATGAAATGAAACCCCAAAGGCTATGCAATGTATAGCTGAAATCTATAAAATCAAGAGGGGCTCAGACAGAGAGGATGTGAGCACCATGAAATTCTGGAATATTAGAATTAGGTGGCCCTTAAAGATTAACTGAGGATGCTTTAAGACTAGCATCATAAAGTCTAATACCTACAAGGGCATAACTTTTTCAGTAAAGAATAAAATATGTAAGTAGATTCAAGAAGTTGATATATATATCATGTCGTGTGTGTGTGTGTGTTTGAGAAAATGAGAGCATTGGTCATTACAAGAAATAGGAATGTCTGGGGGCACATCTCTAACCTTTTGAAATTAATATTATGGGGGACAGACTTGTTCTCCCACAATATGGTCCTTGGTGTCGTGGTAAGGTTGGGATATACCAGTTGTGGGGCAGGCTGAGTGTGGCACCCTTGAGTATGTCATGGCCACTGTCCCTTCCAGGAGAGTGAAACACAAATAATGACGGTTGGCACATTCATAGTTGGGTACGATGGTGATGTGAATTTGGATGATCTAGCTACATAAAAGACTTTCAAAGTACTAAGCTCACCTTCACCCATGGGACTTGGATACTTTTTGTTCCTTTAGTTTCTTTTCCTCCTGGGAGCCAATTGCTACTTCCCCTGCACACCTCAGCACACTTGAGCCTGCTTTGGAAGCCCTCAGGAAGCCCCCCGTCTGGTGTCCCCTCCTGGCCCCTTGGTGCCATCCAGCACTTCCCTGATACAGCCCTCCTGACTGCCTGGGGCTTCGCCTCCCCCCACCCCAGTTGTGGCTTTGTGACGACTCGTCACTGTATTTCAGCAGCAAGAACGGTGCCAAGTACACTCCACAATATTTGTAGAATGAATGAATGAAATTGTTTCAAAGGACAAAACGGGGTAGAATTAACAAATAGCAAACAACTGTTTGAACAGTACCAGAAACAGAAAGGCTATTTGCGTCAAGAATTTTTAATTCAGCTAAACTAGCGAACCTTTTTAACCTTTTGTGGGTTCTTCAGACGCCGGCATTTTCTGATATCCATTTCTGTTGTATTCACACACCCTGGCTGAGAAAAAAAAAATCATTATATAAATTACTAAGTTATACCTTCCAGTGTGACCCAAGCGACACTATCAGACCCAGTCTTTGTCTTTCCTATTACAGATATTACATGATTATCTCCACTTGGCCATTTACAATTCCTTTTATGAAGATGTTTTGTCTTCAGTATGTGTTCCTGCACAGAGTCCCCATATGAAATATCAAAGCCTACCTCCCACTATCTAGGGGTGACATGTAGAGGGTAGAGTGTATAGTTTATAAGAGTAAACTTCTTCTTTTTTTTTTTTTAAAGATTTTTATTTATTTGACAGAGAGAGACACAGCGAGAGAGTGAGCACAAGTGGGAGGAGGAACGGAGGGAGGAGCAGGCTCCCCACTGAGCAAAGAGCCCTATGCGGGACTTGATCCCAGGACCCTGGGATCATGACTCGAGCCAAAGGCAGACGCTTAACCGACTGAGCCACCCAGGCGCCCCAAGAGTAAACTTCTTATTCAGAGTGGCCAGATAGTTTCAGCCACAGCCTTTGTTACTACACGTTATCTGACCATCTACCAACAATCCAATATCACAACGGGGAATTACTTTTTGGGTTTTGCTTTTAACCAGCTTTTAGGAAGGGCTGACATAGTTTCCTCATTCTAGTTCCAATTCATGAGGAGAATGCAAGATTTGTTTTAATCATAGGAAATTAAAAATACTCATTACTTCTAACCTCATTATGCATGGATTTTGTATTTGTGAATTCACCTACGAACTAAACTTTATTCATAACCCCCAAGTCCCTATTTGTGGTGCATTTGTGATCATTTGTGGACACGGGCAAAGCAGCAAAAATCATGAGCGGCCCGATGTGGTGTTCCTAGGGAGGCTGACTAAGCTGAGGCTCGGCCTTCTTGTTTCATCTCTTACTGTAAACGAATGTCCTTTTGACGGTCTATTTAGGCCCACCTTTTCCACAGTTCTGTGCTTTTTGTTGATTTTGCTGTTTAACATGGCCCCCGAGCATAGTATGATGTGCCGTCTAGCGTTCCTATGTGCAAGAGGGCTGTGGGGTGTGTGACAGAGAACACAAGTGTGTCAGGCAGAGAACACTGGTGGCCCTGAATTCCGTATTCATAAACCAAGAACATACTTTAAATAAAATGTCTTTAAACAGAAACAGGCTTTAGACATGGTTACCTATTGATTAGTTGAAAAGATTGTGACCAGAGGCTCACGGAAACCTAACCCTGTATGTCTCCCTGGATAATGACTCAGCATTGGCTAATTCAGGGAGCATGGCTACTTTGCAGAACATAACTACCATGAATACTGACAGTGGGCCGCATCTGAGGAAGATTATTCTACAATTTAGAGTTGAGTGACAGTAGAAATGGAAACTGCTTATTGAAAGTGAAGGGATGGAGAAACATCTATCATGCAAATGGATATCAAAAGAAAGCCGGATTTAGCTATACCCATATCAGACAACTAGACTTAAAACCAAAGACAAACGAGAAGTGAAGAAGGGCTCTGTATCATAATAAAGGGGACAATCCAACAAGAAGTTCTAACAACTGTAAATATTTATGCACCCAATTTGGGAACACCCAAAATATACTTAAAAAAAACCCCAGAAACTGCTTATTTTGGGGCTGTAAACTTCTGGGGCCCAGATGTCCCAGGGGGACTTCCCACGGTTCTCCTTTTCCAAGTCCATATTTTCATGGATGAATAATTCTTAAAAGCTGGAACTGACATACATTCCAGACAATCTACCGAGATTATATTGACTGAATGGCAAAACCAATTTCACAAAATTTAGCAATGCTCTTTAATTTTAAGAATGAGATACCTGGTGGCTAAAGACAGTCTTTTCTTTCAAGTGAAGGAAGAGGGAAACAAAACAAAACAAAACAAAAACATAGAGAAACAAGCAGAGCTTTCTCACCACTGGCCTGTGCACATCCCAAAAGGCCCGTTCTTGACTATCCAAAATTTTCCTTTCCGTCTTGTCCTTTTTCCGATCTATCCTAAAAAAGCAAAGAAAGGAGATCAGAGCCTCCTGTTTCTAGGAGCTTAGTGCACACAGGGCTATTGGCATCTGTGTGGTCCCTGCTCTTTGCAGAGCTGTAACATAGGGGCGGACCATTCTCTCAAGAGAACCTCAAGAAGTCCACACGTGGGAGGAGTACTTGTTTTAGGCTGGACTACAAATCATCATAGATGTGGACTGAACATTGTGGGCCTAAGGAGAGAACCAGAATCCAACTGTTCATGTGGATGATTAAGATTGATATTATTCAGAACTGAATTATCCATGGACATGCCCCCCATCAAAGTGAATACTGTGTATTCAAATTATAGGAAAGAATATAACCATGGGCTTGCAGTGTTTCATCCTCAAATTTGAGAGTTTGCTTTAGATTCAGTTAATAGAAATGCCTTCAAAATACTGCAATTGCATGTTTTAAAAGTCACGTAAAGCATCTAGCTTTCTAAAAGCAGAGTAATAGCCCTAGCATGTGACAAGATCCAGAAGGCAAACATCACTGGTCTCAGCTGGGGGAGGTACAAATTGCAGGAGGTAAATTACAGGTGACTAAGACAGATTCTTTATGTTCTGATCAGTAAATAGATAAGAGGTTTTTTTTTTTTTTTTTTTTTTTTTTTTAAGGCCTGTATTACTTCATATTACCTCTCTAAGTAAAAAGTAACAGATTAATTGTTGTGTAATTTCTGGTTCTTGGCTCTCTTGGGAGCACTTCAGTTTACTGGCCTGAAATAAACCATAATCACCCTCTGATTTTTGTGATAATTACTGTGTATTTCAACGGCCCACAATTATAATGTAATCACGAACTTAATCAAAAAAGTTAATCGAGAAATACCATACATGTAGAAAGTGACAATTTCCCCTCCTTTTTCAACATGCAATGCTGGGTGATCCTCAAAGTGCAAATTAGCTCTCCTCTTTGCTTCACAGTGGCTTCTGAGTACACAGGCTCGGTTCTGCCGTCTCCTCCCCCCTCAACCCCCCTCCCACTTTCTCTTTCCTCAGGGGCCACGGCTCCTCCAGCTCAGCACAGAATCCTGTGCCCAGTGCCCACCTCCCTCCTGGCGGCCGGCAGCACCAGGTATGGTCTGCAGGCGTGTGGAATCGTTGCAGAGGGGAAAGACAGAGACTGCAGAGGGAGGGGGAGAGCCATGGCACCATGCTGGCCACCGGACCCAAAGTCCTTGGGTCATTTCCAACTATGACTACACCTGTGATCGATGAGCCAGCCCGGGGTGATGGGCTACAATGCTGCCCCCAGAGTGCGGAGGGGCGCTGCTCAGGGACAAGCAGCGTTCAGAGAAGAGGTGCTCACCTTTGCCTAGCTCAGTGTCCCTTTCTCATCTCCTCCTCTGTCCCATTTCTTCTGTTAACACTCCCGGCTAGATCAGAGATTGTTGTTGGAGAGGGCAAGAGAGAACCCAACCTGAGCAAGTTCAATTTCTAGAATTGCAAGGACCTGGTTGACAACTATGCTTATGGGCGGGAGGCCATGTATTGGCCACTTCTTATGTTTCCTTAGAGAGGTAGGAATTTCCACTGTAGTCCCTGGGAGGGAAAAGTATGGGGAAACACTCCAGCTAGTCTTTCATCCCCTGTACTCTGGGGGAGAAAGAGGGCCTTCACTTTGTTGGTGGATCTGAAAGAAGAAATTGAGAAAGCTCAGGTCGGTCCTTTCTGGGCCCTGTGTGGGTCAGCCTGTTCTCAGGATGCCTGTCCTCTGCATGCAGTGAACTTACAGGGGTCAACTCTGCCCTGGGGTGGGGGGTTCTGCAGATATCTAGCTCTGTTCAGCATGGGCAAGTTGAATTCCAGGGTAAAGATCTGTGGTCACAGATCCAAAGTCACGCCCTAGAACCTGGCTTTTATCAGTAATAATCTTAAGACACTGGACTCCAACATCTGACTTCTGCGCCTTATTTTTGATGTGCTCAACTCCTCCCCTGGGGGGGAAGGGAGAGGAGCTGGCCTCCCTAAACTCCAACATGTTTTCCTATGAAGAGAGAATCTCCAGAAAAGTGGGTCTGATGTTTTTCAGCCCCTGAGCACAGAAGAATACTTGGAAATCTCTTTAGGAAATAGGAACATCTTCTAACCAGATTTCTACATTGGAAAGCAAGCCCATTGCCTGCTAGAACACATGCTTTTGAAGTTATTTCAGAGTGCCATTGATTTCAAAGATGAAACTTATCCATCTCGACCTTGATTTCTACTCTGCTGCTCTCATGCAAGACGACAGCATTTGACTGGCCATGGCTGGCCGGCCGTGGAAGGAAACCACTCTCACGCCACCTCCACATTCCAGAGAGTCTTTCTCTCTTTTCCAGGGTCTCTGTCAAGTTCACCTACTTCACTTGTGCTTCTGCTTGCATAAAGATGAATTCCCACTTCCTTGCAAAGGCCCTCTGGAGTCTTGCTAAGTTTTCCTAATGAGAAATGAAAATCAACGAGAAGGCATTAATCTTTGTAAGTTTGCACATCGATACCTATGCTTATTACAAGGCAGTCATCTATTTTGGTTACTCTCCATAGAATAGCAGCGCCCCACTTTAAATCCACTGGATGTGAACCCAATGTGATTTTGCACCAGACCCTGCTGTACAGAGTAGAACTATTAATATTCATTTACACACCCATTAAATCTGCAATCTCCGTGGTTCACCTGATTCCTCTTCTCTTATGTGTTTTATATGAACTTGTCGTCACCGTCACTGAAGATAGGGAAAAGGGTTTGTGGCTATTCATGCAGGATTTGGGGAAGGGATGAAGGGGCTCTGTGCAGCCTACTGGACATCTCCAAGAGCAAAGGCAAGAAGGGATTTCTCAAGACTCATCTTCTAGCAAGCAGGGGCCGGGAAAGGCATCAGGAAAGGAAAACACTGATGACCTGGCATTCATGCCTTTGAAAGTTTAGATTCAAAAGAGGGAGAAAAGGGAATGTCTATATTTGCGAGGTTCATGAAAGGAAAACCCAAAAACAGAAAGAAAGAAAAGGCATCCAGGGTTGCCTTAGAGGAAGAGGGGAGAAGCTTTTTCTCTAAGCCTGTAGTCTTACCTGATGGCACAATAGGACAGTGGTTGGGGGGGGGGTGTTTGACAGGTCTCCTAATGATCCACCTAATTCTGATGGAATGCAAGGACAGAGCCCACATTATGCTATGTATTTTCATAGAGCTCATGCCAACACTAATTGATTACCCTCATTAGTGGGTTATTAATATGAAAGGAGCTTCAGTTGAAGATCAACACACGTAAACTAAACTCAGTTATTACCAAGGCTCAGTGTACAAATACCTAAAAAAAAAACCTGTTCCTTTGATTCTTCCACTGTTCATAGGAAGCAAAGCTGGTGATACCTACACATCAGTCCATTCAGGAGCAGTTATATAAATTATGAAGAGTCATACCATGGAATACTAGGCAACAATCAAAATCAATAATGTAGATTATTGTTACTGACATGGAAAGATTCTCAATATACTTACAGCTAATGATTGGGGAAAGAAGCAGCTTATAGGATAATGTTCAGGGTATGATTCAAGTTTTTTTTTTTTTGTAAAGGAAAAAATATATGTACAGAAGAAAGATTAGGGGAGAAGGATTATAGATTCTTTCCCCTCCTTTCTTTGCTATTGAATTTTTGGTTTTACAAAGAGAATGTGTCATCAGAAAAAAATTAATAACATTACTGAATTTTGAAAACAAAATGCTTTTAAAATTTTCTAACCCACTTTTAGGCAGAACTTCAGCCTGAAAGAACATCTTAATGCCATATTCTTTACAAATACCAGAACAGAATATTATACAGCAAGAGAGGAGAAAACTAAATAAAATATATCGGGAGTTGATGCTATCTTGTTTCTGTGTCGGACCTTTTCTATGACATGGAAAATCTGGGGAAGAGAGACACAGGGGGGCTGAACCACATGCTTCTGCAGGCTAGGTCTTTTTGATAGGTCATGTTAGGGAAGGGATGCAGCACCTCGTACTGGGTGCACAGAAGTAGGAGAGCAGATTCTGAATGAGGGGTGATGGCTGGCACAGGAGGGCTGATGGGGACAGGAACTGGGTGCGCAGGATGCTCAGATCCACAGAACAGCCATGCTAGGGTTTGCTTGGGAAGATCATAATGTTCCAACATATTTACTTGTAATGGCTCCCATTGATAAGCACACTTTGTCCAGGTCCTTAGGCCCTGGGTCAACTGAACCATGTCCTCCAGGACTGTTTCCCCACTGGCTTATGCACAGGTCCCCAAGAGCGACAAAGCCTGGTGCAGTGGGCCTCACACTTATTGTGGGAAACTGAGGCAGCGTGCGAGGGACGTTTGGAAGGAAGGAGCTGGAAGTCCTGTTAGTGCTGGATTACGGGGGAAGGACTCCTCACTGCTCCAGGGCTGCCCCTCCCCCTCGCTGCCAGCCCGTCAGTCATTTCATGGATCAGCAGCTGCCGTACCTTCTGGAGGGTATGTGAAAATCTGGTCCATTTCCCAGATTCTCTGTGACCCATATAAAGTTTGGTTTGGGGAAAAGGTGGTGCAGTGGGAGAACTGGGAATGTCAATACTTCATCTGACACATATCTTATCTTCTGGATTAGATTTGGTCCTTAGATTCTACTGCCAAGAAAGGCAGAGTTGGGTTTAAAGATGCAATTAAAAATTATCATATAGTCTCTGAAAAACAAACAGGGTTCTAGAGGGGAGGGGGGTGGGAGGATGGGTTAGCCTGGTGATGGGTATTGAGGAGGGCACATTCTGCATGGAGCACTGGGTGTTATGCACAAACAATGAATCATGGAACACTACATCTAAAACTAATGGCGTAATGTATGGGGATTAACATAAGAATAAAAAAAATAAAATAAAAATTATCATATAGTATGTTTTAAAAATTCTCATATTACCCTCCCCTTTTTTTTCTTTTGGTGTACAGCTGTGTGCATTTTAACACATGTATAGATTAGATCTGGAACGACCACCACAATCAGGATACAGAATAGTTCCATCATCCCCAAAAAACTCCCTGTGCTATCTCTGTATAACCACATCATACCCCCACCTGTAACTCCAAGCAACCAGTGATCTGTTCTCTCTCATGATAGTTTTGTATTTACGAGAATGTCATATAAATGGAGTCACACAGTTTGAAATCTTTTGAGACTGGCTTCTTTCATTCCACGTAATGTCTGGAATACTCATCCAAGTGGTTGTGTGGATCAATAGTTTACTCCTTTTCACCACAGAGGAATATTCCCCTGAATGGACATACCAATGTTTATTTCACCATTTACCTCCTAAAGCACCTTCGGGTTGTTTTCAGCTTTTGCTTATCACAAACAGAGCTGCTACACCCAGGTTTGTGTGTGAACAGAAGTTCTGATTTCTCTGGGTATGTATGTAGGAGTGGGACTGCTCAGTTATATGGGAAGTGTATGCTTAACTTCGTAAGAAACTGCCAAACCATTTTCCAGAGTGGCTGTGCCATTCTGCATTCCCACTTGGGATTCCCAGGACTTTTTATTTTGGCCAATCTAACAGATCTGTAGGGGCATCTCACCCTGGATTTAATCTTTATTTCCCTAATGGCTGCGGATGTTGAACCTCTCTTAATGTGTTTATTTGTCCTCCCTAATGTCCTCTTCGGTGAAGTGTCTGTTCAAGTCCTTTGCCCATTTTTGAGCTGTTTGTTTCTTATTGCTGAGTTTTAAGAGCTCCTTATATAAAGATGCAATTTTATTGGATGGTAAGAAGAGGTAAGAACAAAGGAGGGGAGATAAAAAGGACTTCCTTTCCCCTGTCTGAAAGGGACTAGGGAGAGAAAAAAGGAACCACAGAAGCGGAAACAGAGCTGCAGATATGGTTTTACTCTCCTCCCACACCTAAACTGAAAAATAACCATACTTACTGCTTCATAATCTGCCAATTCCAGCCTTGCTTTATTCTGCATTGTCCTCTTACAGAGATAGATGGCTGAGGGAAGAAGAGAAATTACATGTGCAAAACCTGCAGTGTGGTGGTGTTACAAATCCATCCGTCCATCTGTCCATCTGCTCATCCAGCCAGCCACCCAGCCAGCCCTCCCTGTGTGCCCGGTGCTGCGCTGTGCAGAATTTGCTTCTGTGTGGAAGCCATGACACCTAACCTCCAGGAATCTTCCTACAGCTCAGGATCAGATGAGGACTCCATCTTCCAAGTCTTGACCATTCCCTTTCATCCTCCTCACTCTGTTTCACCCCAAGCATCCCTCACCAGGGTCATCTTTTACAAATATGATCATGTTACCTCCTCCACTCCCTGCACTGCTTCCTCAGTGACCTCAGAAGAACCATCGGGCTCCTTAGGGTGGCAGGCTTGGTTCTTTAAGATCCAGTCTGCTTATCTTGTCAACCTCTTCCTTCCCTGCCTCACTTTCAGTTCCACTCTTCTGCCCATGTGTTCTCTGCTAGGAAAGGCCTTTCCACTTCCCTCTTTTTTCCCTCTCTCTGGCAACCTCCTACTAATCTTGGAAGACCTAGCTCTGTGTTCTGGATAGCATCTACCTACCCTCACCCATGAAACCTAATTCCAGTGCACGGTAATCATGGGTTTACTAGACTGTCCCGGCTCTAGGCTGAGGGCTCTTCAAGGGCAGAGGCTGTGTCCTACTCAGCTTGAATCCCTACACCTAGCACCAGCGCGGCCTGCCAGGTGGAGTGCATGAACAGTGAAAAAGGAGGACAATTTGGGTCTCTCTTTCCAAGCTAAGGAAGGGTTCTTGGCCCTCAGTTGCCAGAGGATTCTTTCTGAAACCTGCCTTCATCACTTCCTCTCCCTACTTCTGCTTCTTCAGTATCTCCCTCCTTCTCCAGTGCCAAGTAGAATGACCCAGGGAAGACAATAGATGAGCGGTATGAATGACATTTAGGATGACCAGAAGAGAGGGTCAGAGAGGACCTGTGGTTGACCTGTGGTTCGACAACTTAGTTATACTAGGAGATCTAGTCAACTAACTCCTTGCTGGATCAACCAATCTCCTCCATGCAGTTTGAAAAATGTGCTCATGGCAGCTTACAATATGCTAGAATCCTGTGGCTGGCAGCCTGCTCTGGTATGTTCATGCTTCTGCTCACGCCAGTGGAGTTGTATGTGAGATTCAGTCAGTTGTGTTTGTTCTCAAATCTGTTTATGTCAGGCATACCTGTTATTTTAATAATGTAAGTTCCCTAAATATTACATTTCACTGATGAAATTAATGTGGAAAGAGAGAGTTGTTGTTTCTATGAAGACCCAGGTGGGGTGTTCAGAACAACTTGATAAAGAAGAGTTGGCTAAGACAATTGCTCATGAGTTTGGTAGAGGTGAAATAACTGAAAAAATGGGGAAAAATAATAAAAATCTGAAAGGGGTCAACATACAGGTTGTTTCAAAAGTGTTTTTAAGTTCTTGATGCACTTTAAAGATGCCCAACCTGGACAGTTTATCTTGAGTGTGTAGCTAAGAAAGGAATTCATATCTTTGGGGTCCATAATCGAAGAGAGTCTTTGATCCTATCTCAAAAAGCTGTCAAATGATTGTTCCTTTGTATAGCTTATGTTGATACGAAGTGATTCAGTATGAATGTATCTCCTCTTCATAATCCTCCACTTACCAGCTTTTCCAGAGAACCAGGCACCCATAGCTCTCCATAACGTCTGAAAGGGGCATCTGCTCTATTACAAGGTATCTCCTTTATTCCCTTGGACCACCGTTTAGGCAGCCTGTGGAATTGGGGGCTACTAAAGAGGAAGCCTGTCTACCAGCCCCACCACGCTGGTCTCGTTGACCCAGGGGCAGAGCTGCTCAGTGGAGGTGAAAGCTGCTTTGACAATGCTGTCCCAAGCAGTGTTTTGTACTGGATAAATGTAAGATGCAGGGAAGTCCAACCCAGGTTGGGCTATGGGCTTTATTTAAGCAGAATCATCCTGAGAAATTTCTAACCCATCTGGGTCAGAATGGGCCAGCTGGGTTATAAAGTAAAATACCCTGCACGGAATGCAAAGCTGGCACCATTCCTGATGACCATGAGCTACTTGGTCACATGCTTTCCGCTTGCTTTCTGTGTGGCTAATGTCACATGTTAGGGAGTCTGTTCACCACAACTAGGGAGGTAGGATGGAGCTGTTGAGTCGACCTTTTCTTGGTATAGAACTCAGGGCTTGTCTGTGCTACCATAGCGCCTTCAACAGTGCTTTTGCTCCAACGCCTAACCCATCAGATGACCATTGGCAATGACAGCCAGTCCTATCACAGGGCATCTGGGGGACTTGCTGTAAGCTCAGATGTGGGTTTTTCTTGGATAGTTAATCTCTCACTGTTAAATCTTTGTCTCCTCACCCTCACACTTGGCAATCTGACCTCCTGGCATCTCACTTGGATGACCCACTGCCATCAGGGTCACCACATCTCACCGTGATACAAATAGAAACCATTCGAAATTTCATGAAGTGAATAGCTTCATATAATACACATGCAATTAAACAATAAGAAAATATTGACCTCGTCCTATTTCAGTGTACTTAAGGGACTGACTCCCTTCTCAAACTTTGTCTTCATGAGTGACATCATTTACCTCAATCTCTTAAACCAGGGAACCTGTATAACATGTGTTTCTCTGTGTTCCTCATACCCTCAAATTACTTTCTGGTACAATGGGATTTTAGCACCGGAAGTAACCTTGGTGACCAGCAAGCACAGGCCCCTCATTGCCAGATGGGAAAACCAAAGGCCCAGAGAGGTGAAGTGATTTACCCACAGGCCGGTGAGTGGCAGAGGTGGAATTAACTTTTCCCATAATGACATTCACTGGTCATTCATTTGTTCATTCATTCACCCACTTAAACATTTATTGAGTGCCTCTTATGTGCATGTTGAGACATCATAACAGCCGCTACACCTGTATGAAGCTCACTGAATGCCAGGCGCCATTCTGAAGACTTCCCAAATGTTCACTTACTCAATCCCCATAATGACTCTATGAGGTGGGTTCTGTGATTATCCTCATTTTACAGATGAGGGAACCTTTTCAGGTCATTCCGCATTGCTGAGATTCCCTAAAGCTGCTGCATCCATTCTAAATGTCTCTCCGTGACTCTGATGGCTTTTGGATAAACCTGCCCCTCCCAAATGATTCAACCTCCCCCCCGTCATTCTTCATCAACATGAAACCTCTGAATACGCAGATCAGACTCCTCACCACCCTCTTCCTCCCCATCACACTGCCTGCCCCCCAGCCTGGAATGCTTAGACGGTAAGACTGGGATTTATTCAAATCTGTGCCCTAGCAACTGACACAAAGCAGGTGATCAGTAAAGGTTTGTTGGATGAAAGTTTTTGGTTCTTCATCAGTCCAAGTCATACCTATTCTGAGTTCTTAGCTTTGCTTTCACATCCTCTCTGCAAGAGGGCCACCACAGAACTAATACTGTCAAATTTAACAGTAATAATACTAACCACCGCCATGGTTTCCACTGAATCCTTACTGTGGATCACACACCAAATCTTACAGACATTGCATTTCATTGTAACAAAACAACACTAGGAAACAAGTACTATTATTATTATTCTAATTTGCACATGAAGGTTTTGAGGCACAGAGAAGTTAAATAACTTGCCAAGATCACACAGCTAGTGGAGCCAGTTGATCTTGAGCCACTGTGCTAAATTCTCTCTTGGTAAATACTTTGATTTTCTGATTGAACTGCTTTGGAAATGCTGGTGAGTACTTTTGCATCCCGTACCTTGCCTTCTCCATCTGATCTGCTGAAGTCGAGGCACGGGAATTCGAAATAATTTTGTTTTAATGAGAACCTGATATAAATTGTTATTTCTATCCTTGTTCATGTGCACATGAAATCATGATGTGGAGAAAGGGAAACCTAATGCCCTGGTGTATGCAGTGCCTGATAGCCGAAGCTTTATGGGTTCATATTCAAGTCGGTATTTTTATCTTACTAAGGTCTAGTTATCTGGTCCTGCCATCCTCCCCCTGCCCCCTGCCCCTTCACTGCCTGTAAGAATATTGGTTTTTACATTCACAAGGGCACATGGCTGCTACCTGGATCTGAGCTACAATTACTCAAATTTCCAGTTGGGCTTTCGTGAGCAGTGTTTCAGCCCCAGAAGAATTTGTTTTGTGAATAGCCAAATGTAGCTCTGATTTTGAGTTGGAAGCCATGCTTATCCACTTATCATATCACTTAGAGCACAGCCCAGTTCCAGAGGGACCCACCATGGTGCCAGCAGACAGCCACAGAGACCGTCAGAAGGCCCTTCCCCCTGCATAAGGACCGTCCTTCAGACCTGAAAACAGAAGAACTGTAGCCTTAGCAGGCAATGACTTGTCTGCACTCCACCCTCGGCATTGCTCACACCTGCTGGCGTTGGGAGGGAGCCAGTCTACTTCATTGCCAGGTCTCCTGGACAGGCTTCCCTGAACACTACCCAGCTGCACATCTCCCTCCATTCTCTGTAGCTGCCTCTGCCTTCCTGAGCAAGCAATCCTGCAAAGAACCTAGGGAGAAGCTGTGGGTCTCACCAAGTGCCCCAGTCCCAAGGACAGCCACTGTGGACTTAGCAGCCAAGTCAGTGACAAGAACGCTGTGCAAAGGGACAGACCATGAAGGAAGCATGGGCCTGGAAGGCACTCAGATCTGAGTTCCAATCCTGATGCTTCTACTGAGAGTCTGTTAATCACATTTAATAAAGAACCAGAACTGTCAGCCACTATTTACTAACGCCTCAGCTGTGCACGGTGCACCAGGGAACACGAGAGTGAACAGGTAAGACCAGTCCCTGCCTTCCTGGAGCTAATGATCTGCATCCAGATAAATAGAATGCAAGGGGGAAGTGTGAGGATGTGGCCTCTCTGAGCCTCAGGTTCTTTATCCAGAGTAGGGGGACAATATAACTTCTTTAGAGGATTGGCACGTGGAAATATTAACCAGTCTCATGGAGAGTAATATGGCCAGAATCTAACAGATCCCTGCCTGGACAGAGCTAACTCCCTTCTTGCCAAGCTCCAAACTTCACCCACTCTTATTTTCCTCGTCCAGGGTACCTTCTGTACATTCCTCCCTGGTCTGTCTCCCTTCCCCCCTAACTTCTAACTATCAAAAACACCCATGAATTATTACTAAGTCTTAACAAGGCTGTGAGAATAGAAAGAACTAGGGGGAGGTGGCCCCTAGATCCAGCCCTCCCTGAAACCCTGTCCCAGAAAGGACGGGTCAGCAGCCACTGTCTTGGCTCTTGGCTCCACAGAATGAGCACATTGGCCAGCTCGATAGAATTTTTCTTCCCTTCCCCCATTCCTTTCCAAAGGCTGCATCTTTCAGTGTGCTCTGCCTTTCTTCATTATGTGGAACAGGGAGCTTATTACATGTCAACGGTATGAAAAGGATTAAGCAGGACAACGACCCCTCCTCCCTGCGTGACCGTCACCCAGACACCAGGCATTTGTCTTCCACTCTCCCAGGAGTGACACTTCTTCACTGCTCACCGTAGTCAGTGTTTTCAGGCTCCCAGCAGTTCGAAGGCCAAAAGTACGGGGCCTGCAAAAGAACACAGGTGTCAGGACTCAGAGGAATGCGGGCACCTGCCCTCCTCGGCCCGGAGCGAGTGTCCACCCTCTCCAGCACCCAGTGAGGACCCCTCTCGGTGACAGGCTCTGCCCCGTCTCTTTCGTGCCGACACCACATCCCCAACTTTCTCCTGTTCTTAAGGCAGCTGAGGCTGTCGACATTTTAACCTAGGTATTGAGAAATGAAATCCAAGGTGAGCAAAATCAATGCAAAAATGAGAAACTTAGTTTATAGGGCAAACATTTCTTATCCCAAGGCCGGCACAGCTTACTGGGCACACAAGCTCCAAGTTCCTTTTATCCCTTTGAATTGTATGCCCCTAAAACTGACATGCAGAAGCCTAGCCTGCAGTGTGGCTGTATTTGGAGTAAGGAAGTAATTGAGGTTAAAAGAGGTCACAAGGGTGGGGCCCCGATCCCATAGGATTAGTGTCCTTATAAGAGGAGCCACCAGAGAGCTTGCTTTCTCTCTGTCTCTGCCATGTGAGGAGGACACAGCGAGAAGTGGCTGTCGGCAAGCCCAGGTGAGAGCTCTCACCACAAATCTAACCTGCTGGAACCTTGATCTTGGACTTCTAGCCCGTGGAACAGTGAGAAATAAATTCCTGTTGTTTAAGCCACTCAGTCTGCAGTATTTTGCTATAGTAGCCAGAGTGGACTGAGACACCCTTTGATGCTGTCTGAAAAACTCCACTCCAAACACCTTGGTGTTGACCTTGACACAGACTCTTATCCTCTGCCCCATTTCCCTCTATGACAGGATCTGTGAAAAGGAGAGGAAAATGGTGGGAGGGCTTAGGCAGAGGATAGAAACTTCACACCAGGAAGGCAGCATGACAGAGTAGAAAGATCAAGGACTTTGCCGTTGGGCTGACCCACACTCAAATCAAGGCCACCTCCCAGATTTATTAATCCTCAGAGCACCTCCGTGTTCTCATCTGTCAAATGGGTGATATTTACCTCCGAAAAGTTTGTTCTTCAGAATGAATGAGGGAATATGTGGAAACCCCCCACCCCAACAACACGGTGGCCCAAATAGAATCTTGTTTGGCTTCCCAGTGCTGGGGGGAGGTAAGGGTTCCTCCCTTAAATACCCTGTTTTGTAGGTAGTTCTAATCTGAGATCAGATGATAAGAGAAGGTTCTTCAGGAAGAGACGCTGGCAGGCCTACCTGGAAACGGTAAAAGGTGCCATCATCCTTCATGGTAAGAACGTGGTCCGAGATCGGAAAGATGTAGCCCTGGGCGGCTATAAGGCTTCCCAAGTGTATTGCTTCAACTGCACGAACAGGGCAGAAGAGAGAGAGGAGTATTTAGCAAGTTGTCAGAGTGCAGGTTTCCTTAGCTGGAATGTAAGTCAGGAGGGCAGAAAGGCAACCAGAAATCAATAGTTCTCACCCTCAGATAACTGCATGATCGATTGACTGATTGATAACCTTTGATATCAATCCACTGGGCTGGATGGGGTGGGTGTCAGTGGTTGGGAAGGGCCAACATGTGTCTGGGACTCATCTGGATCCCAGCTCTGAGAGTCTGGCTTTGGTTAACTTCCCCCAAGACTTCCAGAGGAAAGTAGCTTCAAGGTTAAGAGCAGGGGCTCTGGCACATATAGACCTGTACTGAATCAAGTGGGATGTTTCATGTAAGTGCTTAGCAGTGCCTGGTGTTCAGTAGGGGCGGGCATCTTGCTAGTTTCATCATTTTTATTCCCCAGCAATGAGCACGTAGCCTCACTGCCCAGAGAGACTCTCGACTCCCATGGCATTCCCCAATATGACAGTCCCACCAGAGAAGAGGAGAGCATTTCCCTTCTCTTACGGACACAGAGTAAAACCTCACTTTCTTAGAAAATTGGAGGAAGGACACTGCAGTGGGGAGTGGCAAAGGGAAGCCGACCTGATAGAAATATGTACATCTTTGCCACAATTAACCCATTGTTTTGTGACTTAGTATCAGCCATAAATAGATCCACGTAATCAATAATTTATATTTATTCTGAGCAGAGCTAAGGAAAAAAATAACAGATCTATATGGTTCTACCATGCATGATAATCTTTCACAAATATAAAAGTGCTCTTCTTGGTAAAAACTAATTTTTGGATATAGAAATTATTGATATGCTTAAGGAGTCTCCAGGAATTATTAATTTCATAAGCTCTGAATTTTTTAAAGCAACTTGTTTTGTCTTTACTTGCAGACTTCTCAAGAGGTTGTATATAATCCAAGTGTTTTGCTTATTTAGAATCACCTATCCTTCGGAAATAACTGGTGGAATCAGAATAAAGCTGTATCTTATTTGCTTAGTGATGACCAATGTGCATTTTAAAGTCTACATGCTTCAAGAATCATGGGTCCAGCAAAAAAAAAAAAAAGAGTTTCATCACTGGCAGCTGCTCCTTCCCCAGGGAAGAGAGCACAGCTTCCAGTAAGAAGGTGACTTTCATGTCACCAATGTAGGAGCTAGAACTCTCACTTCATCTTTCGTGGTTTTGCTTAGATATATGGCAGATGGGGAGGGAGGGATAGATGTTGGATGAGCCTGACTTCCAGGACTGTGATTTGCCTCATTTCCACCCTTCTATTCCCAGCTGGTGAACTGTTCTTAACTCCTCCTCATCCATTTCTCAGAAGCCCAAACAGTTCCCAATAACGTGATGTCCTCCCAAGGCCATCTGTGTATAAGAGAGCTTCATAGATACGATCCTTATTAGGTATTACTCACGACCTTTCAGGGAAGCCTCTCATATGAGGGCCGGAGGCCTCCTGAAGCCTATTCCCCTACCACCCGCTGGCTCAGGGCTCTCACAATACTGCTGCTGGTACTAACGATCATAATAAAGCATGTGTCAGAAATACAAGGATTATCGTAGAAAGGCAAAGGACAGAGAGCTACCGGAAGAGAAAAGACCACCATGGAGAAAGGTACTCCCTAGGCTTCGCATTATAACCAAAGAAACATTGATTTTAAATACATGGGACTAAACTGGTAGAAATGTATTTGGTCCAGGCTTTACAAGTGGACAATGGCAAGTCCAGGCTGCATGAGGAGAACACGTGGTGTAGTTAATTTGGGTTCTTTCCTTAAGAGGATTTGAATTCACAGTTTCTCCCTGTGGATTAAGAGCTTAACTAGATTTAAGAATTTTCACTAGTCGTGGAAGTGGCCATTAATCATGATGGTGAACAAGGCTAGTATCACTTCTTTTGTGGCACTCAGATTTCTGGCAACTATATTTCCTTGAACGCCATGTAAATTATATTGGTTCTTAGTCAATAGTATATTAGGAGCATCAGATTAAAATAGAGCAATTTCTGAGCTGACATAGTGACCTCCAGCAAGGAATCACAGACACCTAGAAAAGGCATTAAAAAAAAAATCTTTAGAGGGGCACCTGGATGGCTCAGATGGTTAAGCATCTGCCTTCGGCTCAGGTCATGATCCCAGCGTCCTGGGATCGAGTCCCGCATCGGGCTCCCTGCTCTTTGGGAGCCTGCTTCTCCCTCTGCCTCTCTCTTCTCTCTCTGTCTCTCATGAATAAATAAATAAAATCTTAAAAAAAAAAAAATCTTTAGAAAGCAAAGCCATTGGTAGCCATTTAATTTGGGTCAGATAGATCTAATCCCCAAGAACATAAGAATACATTAATGGATATTTATAAATATGACCTTCAGGCATTGAGGATACTCAGTTAAAACAGGAAGTATATAATAAACTCCAAAAAGTATTAACTAACACATGGATAGTAAGCTTTACTTATCTGCAATTTTTATTTTTCTGAAACTCCTCATTTTCTAATTATGCTGTGAAAATAAATTTTACTACTTATTTTCTGGTGGGAGGACAGATTTGGAAACTGTTTTATTGGCCAGAGTTTTGTTGTTGTTTTTCTGGTAAGGTTTTCCTAATTGAAATGCACAATTAAGGTCGGAAAAAAAAACCATTCTTTCACTTCTTGCAGAAGCAGAAAACAGGAGTCTTAGCAAATAATTAGACATCTTAATTGTGGATCAGGCAATCTAATTTTAAGAGCTGGCTCTAGAAGGCTGTTCCGTGATAGTTCTACAACTTATCTTTAATTGCTGTGGCTAACGAGAATTCATCTCATTTCACACGTTATTGTATTGGGCTCTTTGGCACTCTAAATAATTGCTCATTTCCTCAAAGGGTGATTCAGATTTAAAGATAGATATTCAGTCAAGAAAATAAATTAATTTTATTTGCAAATGGACTGATTCCACATCTTGGGATTCACATTTATAAGTCCAGTTCTCAGGAGAATAGGAGAATCTGGTCTGGAACTTGTTTATGGGATGTTTCTCAATACCATGGAGGATAAAGTCAGAGTCAAGTACCTGGGTCCTCGATGCAAAGGTTCTTCATAAGCCACTGCACAATGTCAGTACCTGAAATGATAAAGCAAATTGAACTGAAGACATCATGGATGAGTACCCTCTGGCAGAAGAAACATGTTTATCTAAGAAAGTCCTAATTCCAACTAGCACACGCCCAGAGAGCTGGGTAATATTGACAATTTTCCATCCTAACTAAGCATATCTAGCCATTGGGACACTTCCATAGTCACAGTCCTATTTGTTTCCAAATAAATCCACTTCCAATGACTCAGGATGATCTTGTGTCCACACTTCTAGGGAATATCTACAGGAGACTTCTTGCAAATACAGATTTTGATGACTTCCCAGAGAAAGGCTAGGTGAAGTTTTACCACACCTGGCCCCCAGGATATTTCCTGAGGTTGGAGGCCTCTTCAGCTCCCTACCCTAACTGACAAGGCCTGACCAACACAGGTGACCTTACAGGTCCCTAAAAAAAACCAAAACAACAAAAAACCCGACAAAAAACAAAACAACAAAAAACCTTTAATTTTTTCTGGCATGGGCATAGTTTAAATTAAAATGCGCCTGTTTCTGAGGAGAAACTTCTATGTGTTCACCAAAACTTCTTTCCTCTATTCCTTGGGTCACTAGATTATATCTCTAGACTCTTCTGCAATTGGGTATAGATTGAGTTCTTACGATGGAATATGGCTAGAAATGATATATCCTGCTTCTAGGCCTGGACCATAAAACTCCCACGTGACTCTGCAAACCCTTCATTCCTTATCTGCTGGCCGAATGGAGAGAACCCCAAGAACCCAGGGGAGGGCAGAGCCACAATGTGGAAGGAGCTTGGGATCCTGAACAACCATAAAAATTGATGCCCATTTTGGGCTCTGACTTGATTAAAAAATAAACTTTGTTGTGTTAAGCCCCAGAAGTTGGGATTTATTTGTTTTGATATTGAGTACTACCTTAATTAATATAAAATTGTAAGAGTCGGAAGGGACTCTTAAGTCTTATCTACTCCAACCCTAGCCAATACCGGAACTGCATCTATAATACCCCAGACAGGAGGTGCCATGATCTCCACTGGGAAAAACCCTAGTACCTGGGAATCACAGATTCCCCCCTAGACAGCCTGTCCTAGTCAAATCATCTTTGATTTCTCTGAACAGAAATTTGACCCTTTCTAAATTGCTCTCTTTGGACTTAATTTTGCCCTCTGATGATAGAGAAACAAATCCAGACCTTCTTGCTCTGGAGAGAGTCCATCCGATATACTATCAACATTCTTCTTAAGTTTTCTCCCCTCAAGGTGAAACATACCTGGGTCCCTCAGCTATTTCCTGCCATGACATGACCTAGAGCCCTTTCCCATTTTGGTCACAATTCTCTGAATATGTTTCCTTTTGTTTGCCTCCCTTTGAAGATGTTGCACCTAGAGCCAATGTGGGAGTAGAAGAGTCCAAATTTCTGGAAGGTTCTGAACTTCCGGTCTTCTCAGCCATCTCATTTGAAACCAGTGCAGATCTTCAAAGGTGGCTTTGTCACCTTGGGATGGAATGTTTGATGGAAAGCAGCCTGAAAAGGGCAACGTTTCTAGATGTCTGAATCCTGTCATGCGTGGGTCTGAGGCTTGGTGTGAGAGAGAGGGTCTGCCCATAGCTCTTCTGGAACAGATTCCCAGCTGAAAACCTGAGGAGCTAGCAGAAGTCTTTAGTGAGCATTGCCCTTTCCCCAGAAATAAAGTTTCCAGACATGTTCCAGAGGTGAGAGCAGCTCAGGCCTGTTTCTCTCTGGCTCCCTGGAGGGGGAATGAACCTTCCGCAGTAGACAACCAGGGCCCCATCCTACTATTCCTGTGCTTCCCCCAGGTCTAGCCTCCACTGACACAGCCCAGCAAGTTCCCCCCATTTCAACCTCCAAAGCAGAACTTCTAAGCTTTTCCCCACTCTTGCTCCCGGATGGCATCTTTGAGCTAAACTTCGGATCAAAAACTTTCCTATTCATTCACATTCTTTGAGCAAAAGGAGAGAATGTCTGTGTGTGGTTGTGTGTGTGTGTCCATATCCTCCAAATTATACAAGTTCAACATTTGTCCTAGGAAATGAAGAACAAAGCAGAAATCAAATAAGAACTGTAATCCCAAGTTGGGGGTGGGGGAGAGCCTCTAACCTGTTTTTTCCTCAAAAGAAAAATAGTTCTTTTTTGTGGGTTGCCTGGAAACAGATAGGTTTCCAGCATCAGCAACAGCTCTCCCCCGGGCAGGCGGATTATCTTTCTGCTGAGCTTGCTGAACCATTATTTATCACCTGCCAAGATTGATTACTCACCCTGGGACAATGACAGCCCTTCCTTTCCCCTGTTAATTACTGTCATCATTAATATCCATGTCACTAATTAGTATTCATTCACATTGAAACTCCTTTCTTGCTATCATATCCGTTCCCCCCACCACCCCACCCGAGACTTCAGCACCATTGTCTAGATTTCTACCCCCTTTTGGTTTTCTGCACTCCGTGTCTGGCCTAATTGCTCTCCCCAGTCCACCAGGCCCTGGTTTGCATTCACAGAGCTGAAGGATCACATTTAAACATTTAAGCCCCCCTCCCTCCCCCCCCCTTTTTTTTGGTCAAGAAGAGAAAGTCACAAAAACCTCTTTCCTTTTTACCTAGCAATGTGGGGACCACAGACCTGGATTTCTTGTCCCTGGTGCAGCCACCGAAACAGTCAGGGTCTTTATCTGGGGACTGGTGTGAGTGTCCTCGAGCCCCGGTGAGGGCCAAGCTGGACCCCCTGGCTGTCCTGGGTCCCTGCCCCCAGTCTGCAGCAGTAGTCACCTCCCCACTGTCCCTCACCCACCGTGGGCCTGTAGGGTGGACTTCAGCGAGCACAACAATGCCTCGTTCTCTCGGGTGTGGGGTGTTTTAGCTTCCTCGGACTAACCCAGGAGGGGCCAGCCTCCAGCCTTGTGGCAGGACGTAAATGTTGCATGTTCAGCCCCGGGGAAAAGTAAGGGAGGGAAATCTGTCATAATATTATGTCCTTTAAAAGACCTACAATTATTCCACAGCAGAATGAGGTGAGCATAGTGCAAACAACGGTCAGGAGAAAGCATTTTTCTTCTTTTTTCTCTTTCCTTTCTTCCTTTTTTCCCTCCGGCCCCCAATCATTTTTCCCCCTCTTATTCAAAAAAGAATTTGAAGCAGATTATTTTTCTATTCTCTCTCAAATGAATTGTTGCCCTTTGTTACCACTGTTGGATGCGGTTCTTATCTTAGTCAAGCTGCCCTGCCAAGGACTTAAAACCAAAAAAGAAACATTAGGAACAGATGCAGAATAGCCACCCTTTATCCCCAAAGGTTCTAAAACACTTGGCTGGAAGTTTTCTTTTTGAGGCTAATATATCCACATATATCCCAGGGATATCCATGAACTACATCAGAGGCACCCGAAACTCTTCTCCACAACATGCGTGGTGTGTTAGTACATTTAAGTAGACATTTCTATGCAGATATGCTTTCAGTTTCTATATGTGTTGTACATACGTATTTCAGTTATGTCTTTTACATATAAGGATGTGTATTGGAAGGGTGTTTGGACACAACTCAAACGTTCTCAAGTAGGGGATTGAATAATTAATTATGGCTCATCCATACAATACATATTTATTGAACACCTACTGTATTGAATGAAAAAGTAGAACAGGAACAGTGTGTATTGTAAGATGACATTTAAAAAAATTTTTTTAAATGACATTTTTACAATAGAAAATACATATTTACATTTGTATCCTATTATTTACGTATGTATAGATATATACAGGTACTAAGAAGAAAAGTTCTGGAAGGGTATTTAAACTGTTTAGGTGATCTTGGAGAGAGGGGAGGGTCAAATCACAGGAAATTTCTATTCTTTACATGTCCTTATTATTTGGAGCTCAAGAACTTTAATATATTGCTTACGCACTGAGAAAAAGACTTTTCACTGTCAAGAGCAGAGAGGGACGTGCTGGCCTCTGAGACTGCTGTGGGTAGGCTGTGGGGAATCAGGTTGCAGACGTAAAGCGGAGAGGGTGGGGGGGACTCTGAGCTGCTGCCCCTGGGCCCTGGGCATGTCCTGCTCCCCTGGGAAAGGGCGAGGAGTAAAGAGTGGGAGGCTCACTCCTAAGCCTCAAGTTGTCACTCTCTGTGGCCACTGGGCCAGCTAAAGGGGCTGCTCACTGCAGTCCTGGACTAAGGGTGACCATCTGCACTCTGCACCCCTCAATATAAACTGGATTTGAGTAAGCTGGCAAGATCTTCCAATATTTTAGGGAGTTCTCTTTCTGGTTTGGGGGAGATCCTTACTATAAAAAGGTTCTATACTGAGCTTTGTGCTCAGGTGTTTTAAGCATCCCCAAAGATTAAGGGATACCTGGAACTTCCTCCCAAATAAGTCAGAACCTAAGGGGATCCTACTCTGAAACACTTGCCCCATTCTCCCCAAAGTATTGTAACAACTGGAGCCCAAACTGATTGTGCAAACTTGAGAAAAGACTGGTTCCAGGCACTTGCAAATTTCAAGTCATGTGAAACTTGGTAGCTTATAAATCATAGTCCTGATAATTGAAGCAATTGATAATTTACTTATCAATCCTCACCATTGGGGAAAGACACCTTCACTTGAGTAAACTCTTTCTGGAGCCCAACAAAAGATAAGATTGTTCCTGCTGTGAGTGACCTCCTGGTACTCCTCAGTCAAGGTTATGATTCAGTCCACCCCGGGGTTCTCACATACCTGCCAAGGTCTCTGCTGCACCCGTGAGTGAAGAGGACAGCTTTGTGCCACCTGATCACGTAGGTGCCACGTGCAGGGCAACACTCATGAAGGAGGGAGACATTGCCCAGGGCCCCTTGTGTACCAGGCCAGAGCCAGGCATGTGACACTATAGTCACATAGCATCGTGACAATAATTGTGCAAAATATGATATCTAGCCTACCCATTTCACAGATGAGGCCCAGAGAGGCCCAAGGCCACATACCTATAAGAGCCAAGTCTGGAATCCAGGAAAAACCCATGCCGG